ATAATTTATTAGGAAAATATTGCTTGGGTCTTAAGTAAGACACATGTTACGTAGAAAGTTTAACTTACCTTGGACAGCGTTTCCTGCTTGAATATCATACACCTACACAGTCGGGCAAATCCTTCTTTCCAGCCTGTCCATTATGATACGAGGATGAATCAAGGCCATAAAGTTGTCACCCTGTTTTGAAAATATATATTAGAAATGGGTTCAGTGAAATTACGCCCCTTTATTTTATGTAAAATGTGCCACAAGAATTATAAAATCACAAAACATCATTTTGAAAACTAAAGTAAGCCATAGTTCTTCTGAACAGATTTTAAAAGTGCTATATAAGAGTCATTGTTGAACTTTACAATGTTTGCTCAATTTGTGATAAAGATAGGATATGTAACTGATGCAAGTGGCATTTAAGATTTAGAATAAAATCATAATTATTATAAATATGTTACTTGTACTTGCATATTAATATAGAACATTATGGTTCTTTAATGATCATTGCTAAAGAAATGTCAGTAGTAAATTTTAAGACAAGTAATCTTAGAATTGTCAACACACAAAAATGTAGGGCATAATTGCTGTATGTTGACATATTAGTGATTCAAATTATAATTGTAGAACTGAATAGCTCTCATAAAAATGTAGATTGATTTACTGCTTTGGAAAATATGTATATGCAATAAGTTATATGAAATTTTAAAATCAGCAGTCAAATTAACTTCACAATCCTTGTTGGTATTTTTGAGGTTTAGACATTGAAATCCTTCTACATGGCTTTTAATTAAGTTAAAGAATTTTTCAAACCTCAGTTGATTTTTGAGTGCTATTATTTCATCAAGAATAATTTTTAAACTAGATTTTTCATTATAATTAATATAAACATCCCCAAATCTACAAGACTTGTTCATTCTGCTTCAGAGCACATTTTCCCAGTAGTTTATTAGACATTTATTTCCAAGAACTGAGGTTTAACATTTAATTCAGAATAAAAGAAAGATTATGGAAAGACTGCATTTTTATACTTTGTCTTACTATATTTTCAGGCATTGGAAGCCATCCTCTGTAATATTCCCAGTGATATGAGTAACAGTACATTGATATCAAGTTGATGTCAACTCATGTCCACCGTACGGAAAATACTATAATTTCTGGCGCCATAAATAATTATGGGACAAATAGTCACATCTTTCTCCTGTGGAGTGTCAAGTCACTTTGGACTGTAAACCTTTTTATTCGCAGTCCAAAGCTTAACCTACTACACCCAAAGTGTTCTTTATACCCTTAATTGGGAGAGGTTTTAGAAAAGTTTTCTGTGGCTATATGTACTCAAACGGGGGCCCTTAGTTATCTCAGGCTCCCATTGAAAGACAGGAACTAGTCATTTCCATTCATCAAGATACCGCATATCTAACCTAGCTCACATAATTTGAAAACAAAAACAACAACAAAAATCAAACAACAAATTTCTTTCCCATCAGCTACTCTTTGGCAAGTGAGTTTCCTTTCTTAGTTTTATTTTCAAAATAACCTTTCCCCCCTTAAATGAAACACACTTTCTATATTTAGCTTATGTTATTTGGAAAAATTTTGAGTTCAAGGTTGCCATAAACACAAAAACCTGCACCAGGGTAAAATGTAAACTTGTTATTCCCACTTCACAAGTCATGGAGAAATTAAAGGGAATGTAGAGATCGGTATCAGAGCCTCCATTGTCAGACTTAGGTGCACAGAAAGGCATGGATGATAGTAGAAGCCCGAGATTCATTTGTGGAACTACATGGAAATAAGCCTCCGGAGAACTCCCCCTCCTAAAATCAAGGCCTGGGAGGAGAGTGGTCATTAGAGTGCTTAGAAGAGAGGAACATAGAAGATCAAAGGCATAAATCTGACCTTAAGAGTTAAATCTTTGTAGACTTCTCCCCACCCCCCTTATAATGCAGGCTGGATCTGGTATGGTTTCCAAAATTTCTTGTATTTTTGGTTTATATTGTTTTGTTTATTATTTATTCATAATAGAGTGTATCTCAGCCACGTAGTGTCATTGGCAGTCACACTCCTGAAGCTGTGTTACATGCTTTTCTGTTTTTCAGAATACGAAACCCAGGATTGATGAACCTACTGGGACAGCAAGTAGGATCAGGGGAGGGGAGTACATCGGGACTGGTGAGGTAAGAGGGAGTTGAGGTCAAAGAGTCCATATAGAAAATGAATGGTTGGAAACATTGTTTTAGCAGTTGTACCATATTACTTGATGTGATTGAAGTATGAACTGATATGATCTGGGTATTAAGTCCCAATTAATAAAAAAAGAAAAATTATATCTAATAGCATAACTCATAGCTAATACTGGAATTCATTTGGAGTTTTTAGCCAGTCAGGATTTCATAATATTTTCCAGTGGGTATAGGCATAGGTAACCCAAATATTAAAGGTAAGAGGTTCCAGGCAAAGGCTCTCTCTCTCTCATTGCTACAACAAACTAACTTAACTTTTAATAGGAATCATCGGAAAGTTAACATTTCAAACCAATACTTCCTGTCAATTATTCAGTGGTAATGTACTTCAGCTCTTTAGATATGAAGAATCATAATTTACACACTCAAAACCCAAATCTTAGCATACTTTAAAAAAAGTACATATGAGGAGGTGCAGTGTTAAAACAGCACGTAAGGTCTCAATGTAGTAAAAATGAACAAAGAAATAGCAATTAACGATAAAGAGACACATCATAATAACTGTATTGATTCATGGATCTGGTCCTCAAAGTATATGCAAGCTGGACAGACCAGTCCCAGTCCTGGAGTGCTATAAACAACGTGGAAACTCTCAGTAGCATCACCCAATCTCACCAAGTGAGCGTTGCTGCGACCCCCGGAAATAAGTACCTCTGCCTGTGAAATCAGCTCTCCTTATCGAAATCACAAAACCCCCAAATTGAAGGCTGTAAAAGGCAGATTTGTTTTATAGCTTCCAAAGGGATACAGTCATATAATAGATGTTACCAACTACAGGAGGAAGCCTTGTACTAGAAATAGTTAAGATGCACTGAACAAAGACATGCTGAAAATAAAGCCTATTACATCCTTACCACACATAATGTACCCCGATTATTTAATACGCACACATATCTAACTGGATGGAGTTATTTTTGAAGTGTTGTCACACTGCACCCAGACAATATACCACACGTCTTGTGACAATTCTGGATGTGAATTTCAGCCTCGTTCTCTCTCATTTAGAAATCCCAAAATGTTATTTTGGATCATATTTGGGTGATGAAGATACAAGCCGCGGATTTTGTCTGGCAATAAGAAGGGAGAACAGGAGAAAGAGTGCATTTGCTCTGAGGAAGTTCCACCACAATCAGGTGGAACACACTCCTGGGAGTCAGGCTTGTGCAGATATGCGGTACCAGGGTCAGAAGCAGGGCTGGCAAGCAGCTGCCCCATGCTGAGCAGGAAATGCCTCTGGGGTGCTGTGTGCTTCTTAAGGTCCCTGGGCAGTCGGTTGGACCAGTGTCATCCAAGCTAGGGACACATACTCCCTGGAAGCCAGGCTCTCTTTTTTGCCTTGTGGTGTGTGATGCAAACAGCCTGAGCATGGCTGCTGACCAACTGGCAGTGGGGTGGAATGCACATGCTGTTCCTACCTGCCTGAATGGCCCTTTTTGGTTCAGGGATCTGTGCACCTCCTGGGCAGGGGTTGACTGCCCTGGAGAGGGGCAATTTCCAGGGCAGGGGAAGTAATTTCTTCCTCTATTGGAAAAAGCAGCTTGCAGACCAGGCACGGAAACCTGTCAGAAGAGGGGCTGCTTTACATACTCAAATGTAGCCTTGGGAGGGTCTGCTACTAGCAGGGAAAACTTAGTGTCAGAGTTTGAACAGGAAATCGAAGTCTCGGCAGCCTGTAAAAATGATGGGTTTTTACAAGTGGTGAATGCCCACTTATGAAAACAATATGCAGGGTGGGGTAGATTATGTGACATGCATAAACATATTACATGCATGTTACTTGCGTAAATATGTAGCAATCACTTCAACCATCAGCTCTTTAGTTCATGGTACTAAAATCAAACAACCTCCTTTCCCACAAAGACAGTACAAGGGATATCTCTTACAATAAACTAGCTGACCATACATTTCCCTTTTCCCTCCTAAATCTCAATGTATAGCTTTCTAGATTAAAAAATGCATATCTAATATTTAGTTGGGTTTTACAATCCTTTATAGGATTGCTAAGAACATGACAGAAAAGACAGGTGCTATAGAGATATGTCTCAACTCTGACAGAATTGAAAACTCTTCATTCTATTGACTGTGGGCCATTTTATTTTCTAAAGAACCTATTTTTTAAAAAGTTTCCTATCATCTCTATGTTGACTATTAATTTTTTTCCATATTGCTGGAGAAGGGTGCAAGAAAAAAATGCAAAAATAAAAGAATTTGCTAAAGTTCCCCTAATATGTTTTGAAAATTATAAACCCAAACATCCTTTTAAAAACCAAATGTTGAGGAAATTTGCTTAAGTGCTACGATTGTCATTTTTCTCTCAGCAAGCATTCCACACATCTCTTGTTGTATAGCAGGGATGGATTTGGGGGATTGACGACATCCAAGGCTATTCAGGGAGCCTTCATTGATGTAATCCAGTGTCTAACCTCGTCTTCCAATTTGTGCACTTAGGAGTTGAGGAGCTCCATTGAATTGTTCAGATGGAGTCACATGACTTACGTGCTTCCATCAGAATGTTTGATAGTTGAAAGAAAGAGAAGCTGTCTTTTCTTGCGCACAATATGCCAAGAGATGCAAAGCCTGCAATTGCAGCAGCTACTTTGCAGCCATAGGACAGGTGAGCCCGAGGAGACATCTTTCACGAAGAAAGAGCGACCGCTGTGAAGAAGTCAGGTGAAGACCTGACCAGACTGTACACAAATTCCATTCACCTTCTGAACTCCTAAGTTGTGCACGCCAACTGATCTCTTTTACCTTTTAAGTCAATTTAGAATACTCACTTTATGACTTTCAATTGAAAACAGCTTTATTAATATATTAAGGTAAGTAAAACATTATGGCTATGCAAGCATAGAACTGTTTGTTAGACAAAAATTCAGAAACGTGAAGCTCGCGTTTCAATGACCATCCATGCGTGCGTGTCCTCTTGGAAGGCAGTATGTCCATCTC